GTGTGACTGCCTCGAGGGTGCTTGACCATTTTAACACACGTGGTGCGATCATCCCCCTTGCGCGGAGTGAGGCTTCTCCACCCCGCACAACATGATCTCCTCGACCACGATTATGGTTACCGCCAAAAAAAAAACGAGGAAAAAAAAAAACAGTAACCTGGTTGCCGAGCTCACGAAGTGAGTCGGCTTGTTTTACAACGTCGTTGCCAAGCGACGAAAACCCAACCCCGATGGTAAACAGTTGGGGCGGGGGCGGGGAAAGATAAACAAACCGTACGCCTGTTTGCAAACCATCAGCACGCGGTGGTTATGCCACTGTTACGGAGGACCCGCTTCCCAGGGTACCCTTCGATTGACTTTTACCATAATCGGTATGTACACCTTCGCACGACGCCACCCCCACCACCGCACGAATAACAAAGGTGTACATGCAACCTTTGCCACCGAAGCTTCCCTGAAGCCCCCGCGGTGCACTAGCTTCCACCGAGCAAGGAGCAAGGGGGCAAATACGAAGGAGGTGTGCAATTCTACATGATCAACACTATTAATCCTAACCCCAACGCCAAGGACAACGCACCTGTAGCACCCAGAATTGTGCGTTTTGGAACAGGGTCGGATGGATCCATAGTGTAAGCCCGATGTTTACTGCCAACCAGGCCACCGTCACCAGCACCAACGTCATGTCGAATGTGCCTGATCGAGAGCGGAGGGGTGGGAGAGGGATGATTGGGTACGGTCGTGCTGCATCCTTTGGGCATTTCAAGACAAAGATACAATACGCGCCCTTGCAACTTCAAGTGTTTTATCATCGCTCCTTTTCACGAAATCGGATCTGATTTCGGTGCCATGCTACTGCAGCCCACTTTGACCGACTGCGTACGCCGTGTGAATCACGCCTCTAGCTCGAGGTGTTTTCTCAAAGTCCATGACGTTCAAGCAATCTGTCGCCTGTCAGTCGAAGCACCTGCCAATCGCCATCCCATAATAAATAAGCCTGCTACAGCAAGACGGATGTGGCTCTTATCCTTCCAAGAAAGGGGCGCGAGTGTGCGTTGGGGAGGGGTAACGATATAACACTACGAACGAACAAAAATCGCCGCCCGAACCAAGGGGGTCACGTCGAATCCATCATCATCGCGGTCTTCCATGCTCGTGAACACGCGTTCATATGCTACGGACCTCTACGGCTGCCTGAGCCCTGTCAGGTCGGATTCGGTTCCTCTCTCACCCTTCCAGTTCAGAGAGTAGTCCCCCGCCACCTCACCAGCCTCTATCACCGACTTGTTTATCCCTGTAGACCCGGTGGAGGCGCAGCTGGTTCCACTGGGTAAGTCCTTGCCGGCACCCTTCCCGGAACCATTCCCACGCCCATTCTCCACAGAGTAATAACCGCTGGGCAGAAGGACAGCGGCGAGAGAGCGAGGATGGAGGGGGGGAAGGAAACGTCGTTTGTACGGACTAGAGCGGCTGCTCACGACATGCGCTTGTAAGCCAGAGAGAGTTCCGTACTGTTTGGACGAGGACATGAAAAGGAAACAAACAGCAGGCAGGGGGCGCGAGGAAACGAAAGAGGACTCGTGGCGCGCTATGCATACGAAGTGGCGTTGAAAGAGAAAATGAGAAATTAAGGAAAGTAGCTCACAATGCAGACGGAGCGGCGAACAGAGCCCCATACTCTCCAAAACACGCCACTTTTGTGCTTCGTGCGATGCCCGAAATTCCCATGAGGAGGGTGGTGGGCAAAGCTAATACCTGGTATATATGTATTGCGTAATATTTCATCATTCAAAGCCGATAACGACCCCTGGGTAAAATGCACATCCTACCCCCGGAACCTGATACCACCAAAAGCATCGAATAGTTTCAGTCTTTTCACGTCTTCGGAGCGACCGTTTTACGCAGCCTTCCATGCCACGAGGACAAGGAGGAAGGCATACCGTATATGACACAATATAACACACCCCCTAAACCAATTTTCAAAGCTCGATTACGCCACGACGAAGAGGACGCACAAATGAAACAACACGTTTTCGGGAAACTCTCTACGACATAGCTTCAACTCCACCGTTTTCCGCGCTGTAACTCTTTCTGCTGTCGAGAAATCGAGATTTGAAAATCGGTCCAGGGGGTATGTTATCTTGTGTCATCTACGGAATATACCGCACCACATTCGGACCCTTTTCGCTTTTTGTATAACCCACGCATAACAGCATTGATTGTTGGACGAAACGTGTTCCCCGACAAGTTCCCGAAATAAAACAAAAGTGCAACATCCAACAACAGCAACAGCAGCGTAGCCTGCAGCACATGACAGGTACTTTATAATGCTAGCGGCGAAGTGGACTTCAGAGGCACCACCTCAGAGTATGCGGAGGCGGACAAGGCAACGAAAAATAGATTCATGTTATGCTACAGAACGCGCCACCACTTAAGAACTTAGGAGTTAAGAACTTGAGCCTCAAACAATCCAAAATAAAAGAACTTGGTCATAACAACAGGTGCTCAGTTCCGACGTGGCATCAACAACAAGAACCCGCCCTTATGGTGTGCCAAATGCACACACAGACAAGAACGGAGCCCCAAAACGCGGCGGCTGCAAGAAAAGAAGTCAGGACGGTTGGGGGTGACCCAAACAGCAGTTTGTCTCAGATTCGAGGCGGGGGGGGCAGAGGACCTCGTGATAAAAATATTGTACTTCTGACGCGCGGAGGGGGAGGCACACTCTCTCATCTTCCGCATGCCTTACAGGTTAGACCATTGACGGCACGTCCTCGAGAGGACGCATGATTATGCCCACAGGACCGGTCGCCGATGACCAATCATTCCTTCATATATACTTCAAAGCACTTTGCCAAAGGTGGCTCAATAATGTCTTCCCTAGTCTATCTCGATAATACCACTTCCCGCCATTCAACCCACTTGCTATGCCCCAGTACAGCTACCGTCTTCTCCTGGCTGTTTCATGCCTCGAGCATATTCCTGTACTTTTCCTTCCACTTGTTTAAATCAGTCATGTACACAACTGGTCGCCCCGGTGGTCTAGTGGGTAGCCTCGTAGCCTGCTAAGGGCCAGGTCATGGGTTCGAGTCCCGACAGAGTGAGTTTTTTCTCGCTTCTTAAATCCTGGTCTCCGTTGGAAGCGACGCGCTGCAAAGCTCGTTGTTAGTAAACTTGATCGACTTCATAAATAAGTCGCGAGGGAAGGGATTGCTGTACCCTTCTCGCGATAAAAACATATCAGGCAGGAACCGCAGGAGGGGGTCCAACCCCCCCCTCCTATGTGACCCCAGTTGGGTCGTCTAGCTGGTAGAAGTGGAGGATAGGGGCCAAAGGGGCAGACGACAGTATCCAATGATGGGAGGAAAAAAAAAAAAAAATTCTCTATCCTTGTCGCCCAACACGGACGTTTCGCAACGACATGAAGCCGGTCTTCGCGCTCGGAGCCGCATGCACATTTGAACTTACCGTCTTGATATTGTCTTCCTTCCCGAATCTTCGTCAACGTTCTCAAAGGCTATTATCCCGAGTCCAAATTTTGACCTTCGGCTTTGTTACCATCCATTGGTCCATGTAGTTGGTACATATTCCTTCTTTCAACATCCGTACAAATCTAGACCCTCCTTTGTCCTTGGATCCTTTCGTTAGATTGTGTTCTCTCTCGGCAAAAGTAGCAGCTTCGTTGTTGCGAACCCCTAAAGACGTACCGTTCGTTTCCAATGAACCCTGAGCCCGATACCGTCCGTTCCTTTCCAATGTATCAACCTCATCGATTTTGAACTACATATTACATACGTCTTCTACAACCTTAATCCACTCCCTGGGCTGTCACCCCTGTTCTTGTCTGTACTCTTCGCCTCCCGAACTTTTATCGGCAACCTCTCCTCTCCCACATCGTACACCATACGGTACATTGCCATTTAACTTCCTTACGCCTCTGCCTGATCGTAGGAGTTGGACCCGAAAGGGGGGGGTACTCTCTCGCTCTCTCTCATGTTTTGGATGCCTTAGCGGTTAGACCTTTGACCACTCGTCCTCGACAGGACGCAGCATTGTTCCCACAGGACCGATGACTGATGGCCAATCGTTCCATCCTCCTTTGCCAAAAAGGTGGCTCAATAATGTTTTCCCTAGTCTATATATCCAATCGATATCAGTTCCCGCCTTTATAACCCATTTCCTATGCCCCAGTACAGCTACCGTCTTCTCCTGCCTATTACATGCCTCAAAACATGTCTCGTACCCTTCCCTTATACAGTTCCCAGCTCACTCATGTGCGTTTCCCTCTACTTCGTGTACAACGGACATTCCGCAACTACATGAACATGGTCTGCGCACTCGGAGCCGCATTCGCATGTAGATTTGTCGTGTTCATCGTCTACTTTCCCAAATCTTCGTCTGCGTTCTCGAAGGCCAACGTCCCCAGTCCTAAATTTGAGTTTCAACTTTGCCCCTACATCCATTGGTCCATGAAGAAGGTACCCCATAGATCTATTCCTTCTTTCAACATCCCGTGCACATGCAGACCCTCCTTATCCTCGTTTTCTTTGCCTAGGTTACGTACTTCTCTATTGGCAAAATCAACAGACATCTGCTCCTTGAAACCTCTCGCCCTTGCGTTTCCAGTGTATCGCCTTCGTCAATTTCGAACGAACCCCTTCCATGCGTCATGTACGACATCAACCCACACTCCGTAGGTTGGTACACCCATTGTAAACTTCGCCTCCTAAGCGGTTCTCGGGAACCCCTCCTCTCCCATACCGTACATACCTACATGCGGTACTAGGGGGGGATCAGACTATACGACTATACCGTACACTTGCATCAGTAATGCCACGATGAAATCCACCCAGAAAGATGTGTCATCTGCATAATAGGGCAATCGGTTTACTAAGAACAAGAACCCCGTTTATCATAGGTGTATGCCTGCTCCAAATAAGGACTTGGCAAATAATAAGAGCATGTGCTCGGTCGGAAGCAAGCAATAAGCGTCGAGCCTCAAGCTAGCAAAGCGGTTCTTCAAGAGTGGTGACGCGTTCTGTGTAGAAGACCCATTTCACTCATGGCACTGCAGTACACCTGGTGGCCAAAATATGAACGCATAGCACGTACTCCCTGCCTTGAAACGCGACTTCAACAATCAATTCGCATGTGCTTTATTTTGACTTATCATGGGCTGCCTCTGGGCGATGGTGTGGTGCTGCTTGTATGGATGTATACATAGGATTGAGAGCACAGACCTTGCTCGCTCCATTGTTTTGCAGTAGGCACTTGCTTGCGCAGCTCTTGGATTAGTTGCAGGCGGACAGCAAGTCAGTCGTCTTGTCTGCTCTATTTGATCGTTGACAAAGGAAGGTCTCAGTGACCCCCCTGAAACGCGTCCCACGTTTGCACACTCGCACACGCACGCGGTCTGCGGGATGGATGAGTATCCTCCCTGTGGTGCTACTCTGTCTGATCTCGTCAAACGTGTGAAACTTGTAGTCTCCACAGCGGCACAGCAGTGTGAACTTGAAATGTCTACACAATCCACACAGCGTATGGTTGAACATGTTCTGCTTTAGAGTGTACATGCGGAACAAAGGGTTGAATCAGAGGAATAAACTGCTTTCGGAAAACAACTCAGAGCCCTCCACACATCAACACTGCCGAGAGGCACGCATGTGTTTCCAGACCTCTCGCGGTTGTACTTTGTTTTTCGGCCGCCCTGTTGTGCCTCGGAACCAATCTACATGAAGGCTCAACGAGTCCACATGTAGTCTAGATTACAGCAGGATGCATTACAACAACGGGACAAATTCATGCATTGACTGCTGTAGACTGCTGCCTACAGCTGTAGTCTCATGGATACGCACAAAAGATTACTCTCGGCTCCTACTGTAGCCTCACAGCTGGATGGGGAGCTGGATCAGTGGTTGACTACAGGAGTAGTGAATGCTTTCGGCTCGTAGCATCCCAGCTCGATCAGTGGTTGCAGGGATCTCTCCCTTGCCAGCTTGCCAGGCCCGCCGGAGAAAGAATCTAAATGGTGCGCACCATCTTTTTTCGGCAGCGCCTGGCGAGGGGTCCGTTCCCGGACATCCCTACAACAACCACGGATGATCCAGCTGTGAGGCTACGGGCCGAAAGCACGTCTTTCGTTAGATTAAGGCTCATCCAGTAGAATGCTGAACTCAGTTAGCCGCTGACTGATGGTCTACAAGACCGTATCCTCCTTTGGCAACATCAACGTCATCTCCGACGGAGAGCTGTTTCAGAGCAAAGTTCACGTTTCTCAGCGCGGAGAAAAAACGACAGCCACAGGTCTATGAAGGGACGGGAAGGCGGGCTTTCTCACCACCCTCCAGCAGGCAGCACCGCTGCGAGATTGACGTTCTTGAATACTGTAAGGGAACGTTGGATAAACGCTGGCGAGACGCAAATAGCAGCTGTGCATCCGTCCATCCGTGCAAGAACAAAGAACAAGAGCTGCCGCGCACCTAAGGGCAACATGGCGAAAAATCCTCAAAATCCATGTCAGCCAGCAGCACACGCAAGCGACCCGCCTGCCCGTTGACTCTGCTCAACCTCCACCGCTATCATAGCTGAATAGTTCAATGCCCTCACCCATTGGAGGCGTCTTGCAGCGCGCTCCTCTCGGTGACGCTGCCGCCGCCGCCGGTGTCGCCGAGCAGCGTCGCAGGGGTGAAGTCCTTCAGGTTATTGTCGTGAGTCGGGCAAGGCCACACCACTCGCAGCCAGACGCAGCATACCACTAGGGTCAGGAAGGGCAGGGACACCAAGGCCCAGTACGTCTCGTCCGGCACATTCGGCCACTCGTGTATGGTTTGCTCGAGTATCTCGGAAAAGCTCCTCATGGTGCGAGTGCTGCTGCTCGAGGACGAACTGGTACAGTGTTCGTCTCCTCTTTGCAGCCAGCAGCCCAGAGGTACGCAAACAAATTGCACGTCTGACGTACCTTGCCTCTTACAGACCTACCGGTTCTGTTGGCCACCCTTTGGCCCGCTGTCTCGAGGCTATTCCCAGGGAAACGTCGACGGACGTAGGGCGCTGTTTGGGGATGGGCGGGGCGGGTGTATGTGGCTGGGGTCTGTGTACACACCTACAACACACTACCCTTTGTGCCCGCTCGGGCGGCGGCCAATCAATGATCCGCCAAGATACAAATTGAGAGCGTTTCATGTCACCGCGCGCCGCGTCCATGGTTGATGACAAGTGCGATGATGCGCATAATTTTTTCATGTGCCCGTTGGATGTCACACATGCGCGAGATCGCGAGCCGACCCAGCTCTCAGGTTCGCGTTGCGCTTTTTGCGTGTCTCTATATCGACCTGTATAAGGTTGTTTGGTTCGCCTCTACTGCAGCATCTAGAGAGCGTCGGCGCTTGACCGCACAAAAGCTGCTGCATTGAAATTGTCAGCAGGAGAGCGGCGGGATCTAGGGCGATATATCCGCCGCGGATCACACAACACAAACCTATCCACATAGACATCATAGATCCCAATCAGCACGGAAAGGTGGGATTTAGCTACCAATTTACTGGACGGATAGGATTTATTGATGCGATCTGTGATTGGGTTTTGCGTTGAATAAGGGTGTGAGATACCGTGGTCCAACATAGCAACGCTTCGGATACTCCGCACTGCCTGTGCAGTCCAGACAACGCACCTTCCGCTGCGTTTCTTTTTGACGGATGCGCGACGTTCGATCCACAGCAGTGCTGTCTGCCTGTCCAGTGGCGAGGTTTTGTAAGCATGGAGACTGCCGGGAGCATGTCGAGTTGTTGTTGTTGTCTTAACATTAAAAACCGTTCCGTTCTCTCTGCCGTAACTACTATGTATAAATAGTCTAGACTAACTTTGACGGGGTCGATTCCCGTGGTCACAGGCTAACTTACCCAAAAAAGGTTTTAGACTAGACTTTACGAAAATAAAAATCTCGGGTGCAAAGTAATCAAATCTACACGTGCGTTGTGCGAACGTTCGCCGCATGCACCCTAAACATGTTTGTCGACTGCTGGCGACCGATATTCAGTGCCAAAGGATACAATCTGATCACGCTGGGGGTGAGCGACGCTTCAACTACAACACGATGAAGGTGTCTGTCGAAGTGGGTGGACAGAGCATGGAGATCCCATGTGGACAAGGAGGGCAGGTGAGCTCCATGGTAGAGAGCTCATGAAGGCACTCTCGAGGCCGCCGATTAAAACTGCACTGCATGTATGGAACTAGACTTGCGGTCTACATAGGCACGCAGCTCTTTTGCTGACTGTTTGCATGTTTTTCGATAAGTCTCGAACGGTGTTGCTGTCGTTGGGGTGGTGTCTGATCTTGCTGGGGTATGTGTTAAGAGCTCGCACAAGGGTGGCTGAGTGGTTCACCTGACACCAAAAGGCTTGGCTCTTCCGTTGTGGGCGAATCACTCCAGAGCGCACAAACTCGCAAAATTGAATACGTACACACAAGAAAGAGGGATGGCTCGCGAACAGTACATTTTTAGTCTTGTCAATACTTTCGGCAAGCACCGCTAGAGCAAAGGTGGCGAATCCCTCCTACGGGACTCCGGCTGGTGCGTCAAACACATCCCGAAAGGTAATACTGGTGCCCATAGTTGAACAATCCTCTACACTACAGCAGTGACGAATGAAGTCGGTCTAGCTGCCAACACGGAACCCAGAGAGGATAATCCTCCACTTCCGGTTGAATGTAAACACGAAGTTGTTGAACACGTCCCCTGTGCTACACCTTACCTGGGTTTAGCTTGTGACGGAAATGTCTCTACCTTCAAGAGGACGGAAGGGGAGGTAGTGGACAAAGTTTACAGCACTACATGTACATAGTCTACATGTTGTAGAGAACACCACAACGACAAAGACAACGATATCAATGACGTATTGAAAAACATAACAACCACAGCAACAGAACAAGAGCCAACAATCGGGAAGAAGCCGACAAGACGTATGCACCAAGGGAGGCGGGAAAGCTGATCCTTGCTGCAGTAGTTGGAATGCCCTTTCGCTAGCAGCCCCCCCACCGCCCTCCCCATCGGCATTGGGTTTTCATCGCTTGGCAACGACGTTGTAAAACAAGCCGCCACCCCCCCCCCCGGTGTTTGCCATCGGGGTTGGGTTTTCGTCGCTTGGCAA